GATTTTTGGCAGGCAGGTTACAGTTGTTGAGACCGAAGTCAAGTGCAAGTATGGGCTTCGTGGGGGGTCCGTATGTCACTGCAGTGGACCTATTGTGTTTGTCGCTTGTTAGCAGGATAACTCGATTATATCTAAATACTGTATATGTTCATGATTTTTGGCAGGCAAGTCAAGGTCAAGTTCGAAAACAGGCCTTGTGGAGGGTCCCTACGTTGCTGCAGTGGACCTTCTGTGTTAGATATATAACAATCTTCCCCCACCAACCTCTGCTTGGATTCAGCTGTGGGACAGCTGTTCCCCCCATCTGGGATCAGTTGCTTACAATTGAGGGGCTGTCCCATAACTACTGTGGGAGAAGGAAATGTTGGACATGTGTCAGGTCATTCCCTAAGGCCAGACCAAGTAATTTTTATGGGTGACGTCCACGTGAAGGGCCGATAAAAACTAATTAAGATGCAAATTGAACAAGAAGCCATAAGCGACAATCCTCCGTGAAGTTTTATATATTTCAACAAAATCCCAAGCGTCAACGCCAGACCTACTGTGCAGACATTATAATTAGGCAACGGTTAATACAATGAGGGCGCGTCACAAGCATAAAACATACAAAGAGCTAAATCCATTACTGCTCCCAGGGCGTGTAAAGATACTGTGCTTCAAGTTCGAAGTTCATTTTAATTACACACACACACAATCATTGCATTCACATAAAGATCGGACTATCATGGTCATGTCTAGTAACAAAGACAGCCCCACCGTCTTACTGTGCCTGTACCTAATTAAGCGCGCCTGGAACAGGCCAAATTCCAGCAACAGTTGCGGTAAGCACCGCGAGTGTTACTACCGCCGGCCAGATAACCAGGATATCTGCTTAGAGTACCTCTGCTACCAGACAACTGCCTAAACCTACGGCCTATTCCACAGGATTGTAAAAGTAGGGATGTTTCTAAAATATGCATTTACTTCAATATCAAAACAGCTACGGTAAAAATAAAAAGACGTGCATCATCCCGGACATGATGCCACACCACATGCGAAATTACACAGAAATGCGACGTACGGAAGAATGCGTTTTGGCTGCGAACATCTTCCAAAAAACTTGGCATCTCTTAAGCATGGGCAAAAACATCTGGAACCACTTATCAAAACCACCCCGTATCTGCATGAAGTTCCATCCCCCCCACTGCTATTCCAAACAACGCGTTTTTCTGGACCATTCCAATTTGCCTCGTAATTGTAGGGGTGTGTCTGCAATATTACATTGTCCGCGAAAGCAGCAACGGCAAAAATACACATTCGTGCATCAACACGGGCATGCCCGCAGACGGCGTATAAAATTGCGTGCCGATTACACAAAGAGAACCCAGTGTTATGACTGCGAACATGAAAAATCAGCCGATCACAACACTCCGTCCGGAGGTCCTGACCTCCTTCACGGAGTAATAATTCTAGAAAGACGCCCTAAATGTCGCAAAACACCGATCCGTATGACGTTTTCATTGAAGACAACAATTCGTGTACTAGTCCTGCCTATGCGTAATGTAAGCATATGTAGCCAACCCCTGTACATCTTTCTGTTGTATACTTTTTTCTGATGCTAAGTATATGCACAAATGAACGACATGAAGATGTGAACTGACCGTCTCTAAAACAGATGCCTTTGAGCCCGATGATGTTGTCATGATCACCGCACAGCAACATGATACAGGTCTCTCGCAGAAGGTCAGTCCTTGATGTTGATTCTGAGTCGTCTGGACATATGGAAAATATAATAAAAGATTCTAATTAATTCACTTTGCTTTGCTTTACTTTACTTTACTTTACTTTACTTTACTTTACTTTACTTTACTTTACTTTACTTTACTTAACTTTACTTTACTTCACTTTATTCAAAATGCAACAAGGCGTCACATGTGGTAGCCAGGCAGCAACAGGGCTGTTATTGGTTACCACTGGCACGTACAACATATGCACAAACTATTATAAAATATAAAGCGCAATATAAGATTTAAATACTATACAGAAGCAATACAACACAAAATAAGAATAAGCGTCAGATAAGCTAATTCTGGGGTTATTTTTATCATTTGTCATATATATATTTGTAATTTTGAATTGAGTTCTGTGCTTTAGATATGCTAGTTGATTTTCGTGTTTCTGTTTTGGAGCGTTATGTCGCACCGCTATCTTCCTAACTAACTTTAATTTTCAGTGTCGTGGGGTTAGACATAGGTAATTTCCTGAAAAAAATTAAGACGTTTAAAATAGCATCCAGTGTCTTTCGTCATAGCTATCTTCACGAAAACTGGCATTGTTTTGGTTTCTCTCTGTGTGTGAGCGTGTTGTATGTGTGCGTTAGTGTGTGTGTTTGTGTCCGTGTATGTGCCCGTCTGTGTGTCCGTACCTTTCAGTTTCTTGACAGCTACCACGACATTACCATCCTCAGGTTGTTCCAGCGTTGCCTTGACAACATGCCCAAAAGCGCCCTCTCCCAGGAGTTGTCCGATCTGCAGCCTGGCTCTGTCTATCTCCTTCTCCTTCAACATATCCATGTCGATACTGCTTGACGAGGGGCCTCGCTCCCGTGGCATCACAGCCTGGTAAAAGTTTGAAATTCAACGTTTTGGAAGCGTGTTTCTGTACTTGTAGGAGAGCTCTCATAATCACCTCGACAGTTTAGTCTTAGTGATTAGGCCATGTTGATTTGATTATATGGATGACATCCGCGCGCGCATGAATTTTCGGCCGTTTCCAAAAAAAAAAAGTTTTCAACCATATTGTAAATCGTACAAACCAGTTGCAAAATGAGCAAAAATATACCGTAAGTTACAAAAAAAAATAAGTAAAAACTTTACCAATGTCGTAGAATGCCAAAATCAAACGAAAAAAGACGAAATTGTAAGGAAATGAACTTGAAGATTAGATTATTCGCCAAACCATATTCTGTCCCATTTGTTCAACCCTCATGACCACGTAGATTTCATAATGAAAACAACTTTTTTTTTGCCAAAACTTTTTTTTATTCGCACGCGCGCATCATTTTTAGGGCTCCCGGAGGATGTCATCCATATAATCAAATCAACATGGCCTTATCAACACCAGTGGCATTTTTACCAAACCTACTTTAGCTCTCGACTCCTATTTGCGGAGAGGATGTAGGACTTGGGAGCTAAAATAGGTTTGGTAACCAGGCTAGCATTTGAGCGACCTCAGTCTTTAAAGGCTTCCAAGTTCCATCTCTCTCTTTCCGGACCACCACGCCAACCTTTTCAAGATCCTCTACTTATAACATCTACATTTTGACCAACTGAAAAGAAACGTCATAACACATGGTGGTGAGCTATTAAACCTTTAGTTAGGCCACAGCAAGTAATGTGCGCGCGAATTGATTTCACCTGATTTCAGGACAAACAAAAATAAATTTTGTTGCCCTCCGACGGTGGTCAAATTGTCGAGAGTCGGCAAATAGTCGTAATCGTTCACCGGTTCAGAGACCATCAGGGATCCGGCAAACCTGAGGCACAATTGCTTGCAAGTGTTGACACTTACAACTCTAAGGTGGTCCGCCGTAAAAGAGAACCCATGACGATACAGCAAGGTCCTTTCTACGTTTCTTGTAGTTAAATGAGATGTATGCACATCTACAAGAATAAATAATACTGTTCAATACATAAATAAAAGGCCTGTCGGTTGTGATTTAATACTTGTCGCCTCAATTCGTGTTTAACAATATTCATGTTCTCAAAATTTACAGGAATCTTGTTTTTACCAGTCTTGTCTTTTTACCCTATCGCATTGAATTTGCGACTGATGTAATTGATAAAAGTTACTTGCTGCGGCCTTTGGAGTATTTTCTTTATCAGACGGACAAATCTGACCGAATGAAAAATCTGTAGAAAAACTACCTGCATCTTCTGTCCAAGTTTGAAGATTTCTGGGTCGTCAATGGGTCCCACACGAAGCCTGTTGTTTTGCCTGTGGAGCAGGATAATGACAATGACGAGGAGCATCACCACGCCTGATGAGGTCAAACTGATGACCAGTAGGGTAAACTGGGTGTCGGCGTCTTCGGACCCTGCAAGGATTGGAGCCATTCAATGAATAACTTGATTTAGTCGATACTGAAAATCAATGTATGCCAGCATAGTTCCATTTAGGCCATGTTAAGTTAATTACATTTTATGGCTAATGTCCTCTGGGAAGGACAAAACTCAAAACGTGCGATTTTACAAGTGGTTAATGCACACACTCAGTGGAGTCGTGTGGCTTAAGGACGTAGTGCTGGGCTCGGTACCAAGAGGTCTCTAATTCAAATCCTACTATAACACCAATGATGAGCCGTTGGAAAAGGCACTTCAAACGACTGTCCTCACTTATTACTATAAACTCGGGTAACAATGAGTTTTGTTTATGTCCACTACGTTGCAATTAGTGGAGATATAACGTGCCGTCACCATGCCTTGTGCATGTATTAAATGTTGGAATAAAGAATACACACACTCAGGGATTCCATAAGTTTGCAACATTTATCGCCTAAATCAACAATCACCAGACTTATATAGCATATATAATCATTTGGTAATTTCTACTTTTCATGCATGCAGTGTTCGGCCTGTTTAAGTGACTCACTTGGGCAGCCGTCGCCAGACACGCCCTCGGGACAGACACAGCCGAGGGTGCGGTTACACGTGGCCGGGCCGGTACAGTCACAGGTCTGGTCACACCGCTCGCCGTACAGGTTGTCCCGGCAACCTGGCATGTTCCACCGGTAGCAAAATCATCAGTTCGTCAGCACACAACAGTAATACAAGAATTACACAGCAGCAACACAACACTTACACAACAGTAACACGACAATTACCCAACAACAATACGACAGTTATACAACATTATACGTAACACAACGGTAATGTAACAGTATTACAACTGTTACACATCGGTAATATAGCATTAATATCACAACAGTAATCAAAGAATTATTCAACAATATCATTATTATATAGTATAATAGTATGGCAACTGTTACATAACAGCAGCACAAATGCAATATCAATGCAGCAATATTACACAACAGTAATAAATCAGCAATACAACAGTGTTAAAACTTTTACACAGCCGTAATACAAATTTGATGAGAGATAATGGATACTATCTGAAACTACTGACTATTCGGAGAATGAATTCAGTTACCTGCTTCATTTTTTCTTGTTTATCATTCTTCAACTATTTGTAAATATTGAGCATGAAACGCGAGTTTTAATCTTTATCTGAAAGTTACACGAAAACCAACCACGTGACACACATTACCTGCTGACGTTACACGCAAACCTAACAAATAACACACAGCACCTGCTGACGTTTCACGCAAACCTAATACATAACACACAGCACCTCCTGACGTTTCACGCAAACCTAACACATAACACACATCACCTGCTGACGTTTCACGCAACCTAACACATAACACACAGCACCTGCTGACGTTTCACGCAAACCTAATACATAACACACAGCACCTGCTGACGTTTCACGCAAACCTAACACGTGATACACAGTACCTGCTGACGTTTCACGCAAACCTAACACATGACACACAGTACCTGCTGACGTTTCACACAAACCTAACACATGCATGACACACAGTACCTGCTGACGTTTCACGCAAACCTAACACAGCATGACACACAGTACCTGCTGACGTTACACGAAAACCTAACACGTGACCCACAGTACCTGCTGACGTTACACGAAAGCCTAAAACGTGAGACACAGTACCTGATGACGTTACACGCAAACCTAACACGTGACACACAGTACCTGCTGACGTTACTCGAAAACCTAACACGTGACACACAGTACCTGCTGACGTTACACGCAAACCTAATACGTGACACACAGTACCTGCTGACGTTACACGAAAGCCTAACACGTGACACACAGTAGTTGCTACGTTACACATAAACCTATCACGTGGCATACATTAGCTGTTGACGTTACACGCAAACCTAATACGTGACACACAGTACCTGCTGACGTTTCACGCAAACCTAATACGTGACACACAGTACCTGCTGACGTTTCACGCAAACCTATCACGTGACACACATTACCTGCTATCCGTATGTCGACCACGTCGTTGTACTTCTCTCCGTCGGTACTGACGGCCTCACAAGTCACGTGACCCTCATACTGTGGTAGCAGGGAGCTGATATTTAGATGTGTAGAGCTATGGAGGGGATTAAAAGACGAAAGGTGATAAGATTTACGTTCGTTTTTATTTTTTTTGGTCCACAAAGATATGGGCTGATAAAAGACAAAATCGAATTATAGAAAATAGACTCTATAGACACAAAAGGGAATCTGTTTTGATGTGAAACATTAAATAATAGCCTTGTCTTGTCTCCTCTTTTCATGTTTATCTGCCAGTCGCGTTCAGGCAAAGCAACAGACATCTTTGACCATTTTTGGCATGTGGGCTACCTTCAGAAGGGCAACAAAACTTCTCGCTTTGGTTGTTTTTCTCCAAAATCAGGATAAAATTAATGGGCACGCTGATGTCATCCATAAAAAGTACTTGCTGTGGCCTAATGAATGTATTGATCTCCTGTGGAATTGAAGTTAAAAAAACAGTAAGAAGTCTTACTTTCCGTCCTTGACGTCCCGTGGTTTTCAATATTAGAAACGTCATTATCGAAGAACCATGTCAGATTTGCGATAGGAAATTTGTAGCCTGTGCATGTCAACTGCAGTTCCTGTCCGTACCGCAGGTCTGTCAGTTCACTGCTTGAAGGACTGATGCGCACTTCTGGATTTTCTGACAAAAATGAAAAAAAAAGAAGATGTCAACATGACCAATTAATTCATATTGCAACGTTGGAGCCTGGAGACTCTTGCAAAACTGAAGGGTATAAAATCAGTATCATGATTTAGACGTTACCAGTGGTGCAGTGCCTTCCACTCCAGCCAGGAGCGCACTTGCACGCGCCGTTGAAGCTGTGACACGAAGCCCCGTTGTAACACTGACAGCGCTCCATACAGATCCGCCCGAATCGGCCGATGGGGCAGGCTGGATAAAGAAAATATCCATCAGATACTTAAGTTGTACACAAATGTTTTGGCAATAGGTTTCTTTTTGAAACGCATTATTCTTAGGGCATAGGACACTATTATAAGTTTCCTTTAACATACATGGTGAAAATATGAGAAATAATTAAATCTGTCAAACATCACCTACATGAAAATCGCACATGGACAAGGTTGTCTGACCCCTAAACTGTCCACTTAGGTCATAATCCCTTCATTTCTTAAGTTAGACCATGTGTGTTCCGACCAAAACAAACTCATCGTGACCCATGACCCCACCAATGGCCTTGAACACCGCAGCCAAACGGAACAATTCCTACCGGGAAGTTCAAACAAGCCTTCACGGTGGTAAAATCTGGGTTGCAAAGTTCCCACATGCCATAGAACCCGAACTGTGTTCGATCGTGTTCGATCTGGGCAATTCGAATCGAACCCGCGTTCTATTTCGGGGTCACCTGCGGTCATTTACAATAAAGCGGCAAAACAAGCCTTTCTGCCTCCGTGCCGTGCAACAGATAAAAAACAACACTTTTCTATAGATACAAACCGTTTCGTGGACAATACATGTCCGCTATCATTTTTTTGTGGACATGTAACATGTAGCGAAGCTACTGTCATATCCTTGGGTGACCTTGAATACTGTAATGATTCTTTACGCCAGTATGAATAACACAATGCAGACTTTTGGTCGACATGACATGTCTGCAAAACTCGTTTTAACCTGCAAGCATGGAAAGTCAAACATACCCAATTCACGGCTCAAAATGACCGTTACGGTTGTCCCGAAAATCGTGTTTTAGGGATTTTTGAAAAATGGCCTCAATTTTGAATTATGGGTAATTTAGTGCGAAAATGTAAAACAAATCATTTTTCACCAATATGTCGACAAAAACTAGACTTAAAATCAGAAATTAAAAATCCCTAAAACACGATATTTTGATCTTATTCCTAGTCGTCGAAAAATATAAAAATCGGTAATCTGGGGTAATACACGTAGCCAGGTTAAAACGATGTTTGCCTAAAAACATGACATGACTTGTGGTCGGAAACCCGAAAATAATCGTCTTTTGGAGCGAAATTTTGAAAAATCAATGATTTAACATAAACAGCTAATATTGAAAGGATGTTAAGGCAATAATTTCATTTTAATTTGACGAAATTCACCATTAAATCCTTTTTGTTTATTTTCAAGTGTTTTACTGGTAGGCCAAAATCGGACAAAATAGCGTCTTGTAACCCGATACCTTTTAGAACGCGCCTAGCAATGGGAAAGAATACCGTAGTGACAGACCGCCGTGCTTAAAGCCAGGATTTTACAAAATGAAAGGAAATAAACCCTCCCAGATAGAAAATGCTAACGTTAATCAACATATACCAAGAAAACTGCTGTCCCAAGAAGTGATGCACTCAGTTTGCGATTGCCCGACGATCGGATGAAATATGTTAGCAGGCCCCCATCGAATATGCGATGTAAGCAACGCAAGCAAAATGTTGAAATTATAACCTTGTCAGGGCTTTTTTCTCACCTGTCACTATGGCTCCAACACGGTAAGTTAGTCCTTTGATGACACATTCCACCTCGTTGGGGTTCTCCACCCCTACCTGAAAGCAAAGATACAACAGTTTAGCCTCCCTTGGCAGACTAGTGCGGCGGTGGCGTTATTTTTTTAGGAGAGCGACGCGAATATGCCGCGAGGGACTTTAGCCGGGAGGGAGTTTGCCACGGAGGGAGTTTTTCGCCGCCATCGTCTGCGAACAGGTTTGCGAAGGAAGCTTGATAGATGCCAATTTCAATGTGTTATTTTATTATTGATAACTCCCTGTTACACATAGCCGAACACTGGCCGAACTGCGTAGAATACTAGGAGGAGGTTGTCAGTGAGTTCGGCTGTAGTTGCCTGGTGTTCGGTGAAGTCTGCTGCTGTTCGGCTGCGCCAGTCGGATGTTTCAAAATGTATAAAACATTCGGATGTAGACGGCATGTGCATGTACATGTTCACCCATGTTTGAGTGGTTTTTGTTTGGTGTTCGGAAGTAGGTCAGCAGTGGCCGGGGCGTTGTTGGCAGTCATATTTGACTCAAATTTAACTTAAGTACGATTCGGTGGCGTGACCTTAAGCTAGTCAGATTTATCCCGAACTTCAGCCAAACTTATATATAGTTTATATATAGTTGGCTTATCGGTGGAATGTTCTGAATGTGTGGCAGGGGCAGACACTGGAGGAAGAGTGATTGTAAACGTATGCACACGTGTACTTGCCAATTATATCTGACGCTCTTAATTCTCATCCTGGAAGATAAAGCTATAAGTAAAGGTGTTTGGTTTGAAACACCCATCTTACCTGTGCGTCAAGAAAGGTGATTTTTAAAAGTGCCTCTGTTCTCTCCCATGCCACGTAATGCCAGAAGGGAATCCACGGCCAGTCGTCATCAGGGGGCCATTTGCTGCATAGGCATATGAAAATGAAATAATAATTGTTTGTCTGTGTGTGTGTGTGCGCGCGCGTGTATGTATGTATGTATGTATGTGCGTGCGTGCGTGTGTGTGTACGTGTGTGTGTGTGTGTGTGCGTGCGTATGTGCGTGCGTGCGTGTCTGTGTGTACGCGCGCGCGCGCGTGTGTACCTGTTTGCGTGTGCGTGCGTGTGTTTGTGAGTACGTGTGTGTGTTTGTGTGTACGTATGTGCGTTCGCGCGTGTCTGGAAGGAAGGAAGGGAGGGAGGGAGGAAGGGAGGAAGGAAGGAAGGAAGGGAGGAAGGAAGGAATGAATAAATGAATGATCTTACCTTTCTTCCTTTAGAAAGGGTTCTACCAGACCACCACCGTGGATTGATGTACAGACAAAGTCGGTGTCTCGTGTAAGCTCAAAGTCAAGCCGCCCATATTCAATGGTTAAGTAAAACTCCAGCATACCTGATCCAGGAAATGATGGACCAGTTATCTTCGATAAATTTCTTTTAAAATATTGTATTCCTACAAATTGATCCTACCTTTATTGCCATATAACGCGTTACATGTCGATTACGGTCAAGCTATTACATTTTTAAAGGGAACCATGTTTTCAGAAGCACGTATGGCATTAATCGAGCGCTGTTGTGCACATGTAACTTGCACTGGAAACATGCTGCTCGAAAAGGAAACAACTATTTCAGAAGACATACGTGAACAAATTCATCTGAATAGTAATGCATATCTTTTACACCTTTGTTGAAGAACAGAGTCGTTAGTTTGGTTATTGAAAATATAACGGTGCACTCTTACGGCCACTACACACTTTCCTAATCACAAGGAGTCAAGTAGAACTAGGCGGAATTGGTAAAAACGCAACATTCGGGGAACCTAAAATAAATATATACCCTTATAACACAAGAGCTGGAATTCGAATGTGGTCTGCATGGAAATTCCTTTAATACTCATGGTTATTTTTTTAGCGCATTTTTCAAAATTCGGGGTGTATTCCAAATTTTAGACCCATTTTGTGTTCCCCTTGAATGCAATCATAAGGTTTCCAACCCTGCTGAATTGTTGTATTCACAATGCAGTCATACTACATTTAGAATACACTTTGAATGCCGTTAGATATTTCTCCTCTTCAAATTCACCTCAGTAGTTTTAAATATGCTTAAAACATTCGAGACGGCCTTAAGAATGGGAACTAATGGTTGGAATGCAGAGAGAATTTCTAGAATGCACTTCAAATATCCAGGATGAAAAAAAGAATCTTTATTCAGACGGAACTCCGGCTCATTCAATGATAGATGAAGCAAAAATTAAGGTTTACAAAGAATTCAAATATTTCTGACGTCTGCTAAAAAGAAGGTTAAACTACTCACATCCACCAGATGGAGTTTTGTTGTCCGTCTTATAGCCGAACGGATATTTTTGTATTTGCTTAAGTTCAAGCAACCCGCCAGCAATCAATTGAACAAATTCCTGAAGAAAGGGGAAAAGCGTCATGCCATTGTAGGTTTACTGTTCAGTATACTAGTGTATGCTTAAAACATAAACACATGACATATCAATGCTTAGAGCTCCGATTTCTCTCTCTTGTATCATCACAGCTACGAAGTAAGCTTTGCGGAACGTGAACGATTCAAAAGAAGGAAATGCTCCATGAGCCCTGCTCAGACGAAAACGCAAGAACCGCGATTTGCGTAAATCGCATTCCTCACATCTGGTCCACGTGCCACATGTTCCTTTTAAACCGTGCCCGAACACATTCTTTGGTTATTACTGCTCTTTAAGTTACTGTCACCTAAATTTTGATATTGTATATAAATAAAGAAATATCACCCCGTAATCCATAACTAGTCTCCACCAGACAGCAAGCAGGGCCCAGAGACTAATCCATTACCCGGTAAATATGTAAAGTAAACCGGTGACGTCATATTAGAATCACATTGAGTTCAGGCTGAAGTCTGAATGCGTTGAGGCCGGTTCAAAACTACGTCCCGAGTTGCTTTGCGCTCGAGGCGCATTCAATGTAATTTGGTGCGTTTAGAATCCTTCTTCGGTGGAATCTTTTAAAACATTATATTAAAACTTTGCGGTTATAGCGTTTCCGTCTAAACAGGGACTGACACGTTACATGGAATTTCATCCGAAAGTGCATGTTAGCAGCCCAATTCATCAACAGAAGCCTTATTTTTTATCTGTGACTCCATATATGAAATTCCTATGTTGTATTTTCATGTATCATTACCGTAGCTGTATGCCTGTTGAATTTTCTTGCTGTTTGCTGGACGAAGGTTCTTTCGTCGAACACTGGCTCTTTCCCTAAAGAAGAGAATCCACATATTAAGTTTATACAATTTAAAAAAAAACATTAAAATAATTTGATGTTTTTGTTTGTTTGTTGTTTTTCTGAAATCTATTTTTCCAGGCCTCACTCAAGTCCCTGTCACATAGACGTATATTACCTCCCGAACACGACCAAACTCCCCACAACCGTGGTTAGGAGTAGGTCGGGAGCAATATTGGCTGATGTTTGGCCAGGTCGGCTACTGTTCGGATCCACCAGCTGATGTTTCAGAAGTCTGGTGTGGACAGAAGGTTCGGTCATGGTTGGCTGGTAATTGGCTGGTAATTGGCTGGAGTTTGTTAGTAGGTATGGCGTTGTTGGTAGTCAAATTTGACTTATATTTAGCTCAAATTTGATTGGATCCGCATAAAAATGTAGGCATGGTCTAAATCTGGCCATACTGCTAGTGCTCCCAAACTTAGGTCAATCTTAATTGGTAGGCTGATGTTCGGGGGAAGTTCTGAATGTGTGACAGGGGCTTCAGACAACCTTGGTCGGCTGGTGTTCGGGGAAAGGTTCTGAATGTGTGGCAGAAGCTTGAATACCCCAAGCTCTGCTGACCATTTCCCATACGTATGACATGACAACTCGGTATGTATCAGGGCCCGGCAAGATTCGTCGTACGATCATCATACGATAACAAACTAGCTGAGAGCATTCTTGGTATCGCCGTGCAGCATTCTTGTAACAGCCTGCCGCAAGTGAAAATTCTACGGCTTGAAAATTGTACGACAGCCTACGTCGCTAACGGCAGGCAATCATGTAAAAATAGTATTCCTAGCCTAGGGGCGTTATTAGTCGTACGGACTTTTTTCAGAATAAACATGGTAAAAAATATGGCCATTTCATAAATATGACAGTCGTGATGTATTACTTAAACCTCTACCTGAGACTTCAATGCATTAAAATCACGGCTATGCATGGAACTCATCCCATACGTATTTAACTCATCCCATACTTGAACGTTATGTAGGTAGCAGCTCTTTCCTTGAGATATTCTGGAGAATATTCTGGAGAATAGCTCACCTATTTCTCTCGTGGTGAATGTCAGATTGAACTCAGTCCTGTTTTGAGCTAGATGATTGTGGTTGAAAACAACTCGTAGCTGATTGCCGGTACTAGCCGTGGATATATCTGCAATATCTTTGCCTGGTAGATAAAAAGAATAATATAATATGATTGCCTACATAAAAATGTAGGTATTTTTTCGGCCTGCCTCTGTGTGTGTGTGTGTGTGTGTGTGTGTGTGTGTGTTTGTGTGTGTGTGTGTGTTTCCGCATACTTGTGGTCAGCATAACCCATCAAAACGCCTTTATGGATTGTAATGGTATTTGGTATGTTGGTAGTTCTTAGGATGGCAAAGGTCAGACTCAAATCTGGGCCTCCTGTTGGCTGACCTTGGTGCTGCAGCAGAAATTCCAGATTTTGTATCCTTTGTCCTGGACATGGTACGGTCTTGAATTTTTGTGACATTTTTGATAGCGTTCCTGTTAGGAACAAGTGGAATGGGTTTGATCACCCTAGCAGCTTGTTTTAGAACTGCAGGGGAGTTTCCAGCGAAATGTTTGAAATTGGAAATATCAAGAAAGAAACGACAACTGGCGACTGACCTTGGTACTGCAGCAGAACTTCCATGTTTTGTATCTTTTGTCCTGGACACGCATGCTATGGTGTTTTTTTTTTTAAGGCTGTTAGTTTGTCACGTCAGAAACAAGTAGTGTTGGTTTGGCCCCCTAGCCACTTGTTCTGGAACTACATGGGAGTTTCTGGAGAAATCTTTTAGGGCGGATAAATCAACAAAGGAACGACTTTTCTTGATTTTCAGCAGGTTTGTAGCTTAGACAACGATGTGCTCATTGGAATGTAAATTATGTTAAAATAAGGCTTGATTTCCATATTAATGAGGAAATTAACAAGGCTGAGGCAATAAAAAACATTGCCAAGGCGACGACTGAAAGATATATATTATTTCATGTGGTGGAGCTAGCAATCTACATTACAATTATAAGAAAAACAGATTTCCCTATCCCTAAAGACATGTATGGAGCGGAATGTACAGGATGGGTGGAGGAGGTGTGGGGCAATATACCAAATACACGTACATTTGTATAGGAGGAATCAGCCGTTCTTTCCCAGCTATCACATAGATTTTATGATGACATACTTACTTGCTTTACTTTGGTCGAGTTCCCACTCGAACCAAACTCAAAACCACCCTCCACTCCACTTCACTCTATCCTCCACCAGAGACTGTATTTTACGTCTGATCTGAAGTTGTTACTCCTAGGACTTGTTTGACCTTTTGTGGGTCCCCAAAAGGACGGATAATTTCTTTTCTCTGTGTGATCTGTTGGAATAAACCCACCCCATCGGCCTAAATGTTCTTGGGGATGGAATGTCAGATTCCTGATCAAGTGGTCTTTGGCCAAAGACAGCTGTGCTCTCTGTCCATGGTGTGGGGAGAAGACTGATGACCAGTAATTAATCATGCCAGGCAGCTGGATGGGTGGCACGAGGGCACCCAGTGTAAGTTACCTGCTTGATCCAAAAACCACATGGCCGAAGGCTACTTCAAAAGCAAGTCCCTAGGGAATGCATTCGTGCAATTTTTGAAATTCTTTCAAAGCGATCGTAGTACTTGCACAAATGCCTCCGCCCCAAAGGCGTCGCCAAGAAAGTACATTGTTGTACACAATAGGACTTTGATACGTACTTGCAACAGGTTTGTATCCTATGGCAAGTGGGACATTAACAGATACAAATTATGCAAATGAATACCTAATTGTTTTTTTTTAATTCCTTAATGCTAAATAATTTCACTCATTTCATACTTATGACATGTTTAAGTTAGCCAAAGGTTAACATCAATATGCATATATTATGTTAATGTGGGGATGTGGTGATTAAATCATTCATAAGTATGAGTGTCTTGCCAAACATTTCCATAATGTATAAGTAGTTGCGAGGATACACGTTGTGTATAAAATGAGTCCTCCTTCACTTAGTCTTTGTACTATCAATTTTTTTTGTATCAAATGTTTTCTCTTGATAAAACTTACTTCGACTCGTTGAATCTCCACAGAATGTGTCGATGATGTTGCTGTTTGCTGAACTTCCATCATGGAATGTCACAATGGTAGCGGAACAGTTGTGAGAACCTCGGCGCCACTTCCCGGCATCAAAATTGATCTAGAACAGAAAGTCTATTATGTGAATGTGAAAAACATTTAGCCCATCTTGATCAATTGGTCATAGCCGCACCTCTATTGTAAAACGAATGAACTATGTATCGAAAGAGAAGTAAAAACTTATGAAACGACACGTTCTTGTAAAAAGCTTTCTGCAAAAGACGTCTATAGCAAAAGTGCAAAGGAATTAAGTTCCAGTCGGGAACTGCTATGCTTTCAGGCAATGGACCGTGCTCCAAAGACGTAATACAAGAGTTCCACGATCTCATACCTTCGCCAAATGATGTGACAAATTATACAATTTTAATCATTGATTTTGTAAATAAGAGCCTCATTTGCATGGATTATATCAGTTGATCATATTCTCCACCCAATGCCAGCCTTATCTTAACAAAAAGGCTATTATAGCACTTCCTCATAAATTATGCAAATGAGGTCATGATTTGAATAAGTTATGTTTATTGCTGTTCACCTTCAGTTAACTTCCAAATGTGGCAAGTATGAAATTCGGGGTGCAGCAGTTACAACTATGGAATTATAAGAATTTGCCATTAATTATGCAAATTAGGTCCTCATTTACGTAATGTATATCCTCAGATGTTTTTCTTGTTCTCAAGTAGATGTCACAAGTGTTTCATAGTTCTATTATCGAACAAAGCAGATTTATAGAATTTCCTCATTAATTATGCAAATTAAGTCCTGATTTGCATAATTGCCATTTAATTATGTCAAGCATCACTTCAACTACCTACACACCAAAAATCACGACAATAACGTCAACCGGTTCTTGAGTTATCGCCCTTCTAAATTTTTTTCAACAAATGCTCCTGCAGTTCCATAACAAGGTGCTAGGGGACCCAAACTTATGTCACTTCTTTCCTACCCCAAGAGCTATCTACCAACCAAAATTCGTGACCCTAGCATGTCCAGAACATGAGATATCAAAACCGGAAGTTCAGCTGCAGTACCTAGGAAAGCCGCCAGGGGGCCCAAAATCTAATCATTTCTAGGTCTCATGAAGTCCTACCCACCTACCAAGTTTCATTCCAATCCATCCACTGCTTCTAGAGTTATCTTGCTAAACCACACACACACACACACAACACACACACACACACACACACACACAGACAAACGCTACTAAAAACATAACCTTCTTGGCGAAGGTAATAACACCACTACATGTAAACACGACTAAAGCTGTCCCTGACACACACATTCAGAACCTTCTCTCGAACACCAGATGACCAATGTTGGCTAACGTTCGGGAGCAGCCTGACCGGATTTAGACCACACCTACCTTTTTATTTGACTTGAATTGAATTTGAGTTGAATTAGAGTCAATTTTGACTGCAAACCACGCCCGGACCTGCTCCGGAAAACTTGCAATCCACCAACCAACACCAGAATATTTTTAAAAACATTTTGAAATATTCGTCTGGTGCAACCGAACAGAAGCCGACCTGGCCTGACACCAGCCAACTCCCAACCCACTTCTAAGCATAGTTCACTAGTGGAGCTATGTGTGACAGGCGATCAAGTTTATCTGTATAGAACACATGATACACGTCACGGTCCTGTATTTGAACACGTTCACATAATTTCTAGTAAAGGCAAGGCCTTGTCGAAAGACTTACCAGTATTAACTTGCTTTGGTCAGTCTTGATGTCCCACTCACAATAGTCAGACGTCGCGTCCGTTGCACTGCTCACATACCCCCTTACACCGGTTAGATAATGCACGCATTTGGTCTCTGTAAAAAATCATCAGCCAAGTATCATTACCTTCGCCAGAAGGTTATGCATTCGGTTTGGCTATGAAGGTGTGTGGTAGGTACCGTTGGGGAGATGAACGTCAAGTTCAAAAATGGGCCTACGTCACTGCAGTGGACCTTTTGTACTTCTTTTTCAAGAACCCTTAAAACAACCGTATGGGGCCAAAATGTGTCATTTTGATTTTTCTTGTCGAACACAAAATTCATTCTTTGAGATAGCTTGTATATACATGTCTTATAAAAATACGTTTTTAATGAGATTGGAACATTGTTGATTAATTATAAGCCATCCTAGATAGTTTATGCGTGGTTCCGTGGGGTCAAAACTGGCCCAAGAATTTTTAACACTTGTGAATACATTGTTGTCGTCAATATTTCTTCCAGGTAATATGTTTACTTGAGTTTTCTGCTACCATTGGTCTACTTAACACATTGCTACACAATAACCTTTAACATGTTGAATTAGAAAATTTACAACAAACTGTGATCCTACACCTGGTTGCCCATGGACTTGGGTCAAAGGTCATCGACCTGGCTGTCTGTAGTCACCTTGTGTGAGTTGCATACATTATAATTATTAGCATAATTTGTTTACACCTTATCATGTCAAATTGTCCCTAATAGACTAATAAACCTATGCATATATAAAAATCATAAAAAAAGAGTAAAAAAATAGAAAGGCCGACATTTGCTCAGGAGCAAACATAGCATGGCTTCACCACATTCCCCATACCAAAAATCCCCCTCCCACACAAATGGATTGTTCTGAAGTCACCCCTGTTCAAAATGTGAAATGTCTATACCCCCATGCAGCAATGGAATATTCCAATGCGTTTTGCTGTTGGAACATGTAGATTGACAGGATCCATGCCACCCTATATCTGCTTGGGGGCCAAGCCACTTTGTATCTGCTCGAAAATACCCATGCCACCATGTATTGGAGATTACAGAGGTCATCAGGTCATTTGGTTCCCAAAGTTGAATACGTTCAATGAAGTGGCAGGCGTAGAGTGAGAAACACAAAAAAATATTGTTTTTCATCTATATTAATATGATATGAAGTGATATACATGTATAACTAAAAACACAACAGTTGGATACCGTTGGACACTACATGTAGTAGCTAACATCCTATACATTATTGGTAATGACTTATATGCCTGATACAAACTGTTGATTTTCAAGATTAAAAAAAAAGTTTACGCCCCACATTGGAAGAAAGTGTGACAAACGTACTAAAATCAATTAAATGCAGTTCAGCTGTCAATATGCTATAGCCGGAGCAGGTATTCAATGTACTAGTATTAATCCAATTAGTCCAGCACCCAATCAGCAACAAGATTCCAACTGCCCTACCAGCAGGTGTTCAATGTATTAATCCAATTAGTCCAGCACCCGATCAGCAAGAAGATTACAACTGCCCTACCATCTTGAAAGCTTCTCTCTCTGCATTCCTTACTGATGAGTCATTGTTATAAGGGGGCACACCCCAGTTTATTTTTGGTCTCAATTCGATTCTGCATACCCTCAACTCTAGCGACCGTCTCTTTCAGGAAATACCTCTTGGGCGAAAACACTGTGTTTGCAAATGAAGGATATCGCTCTAGCTACGAGAACAACAGAGTCTCAATTTCTTTCACCACTCACATTATTGTAAATTTTAGGGAGAAAAAGAATTTTCGATTAAAAATGATGCCAAAAATTGGCCATTTTCACGTGGAATTAGACCCATCACCCAGAATTTAGCCACTGAAATGACTTATATGGTCGGAAAGAGAAAACCCTTATGTATTTATAAGAAAAGTATAAAGAAAATTCTAACACTGAGATTATCACAATAGCCCGTCGCGCTAGGCATAGCGACAACACCCCCAGAACGCATAAAACGCATATCTAGGTCAAACCGAAGCACCGCGCTGAAGGCGGAAGGACACCCGGAAGTAAGCCTCGGGCCCGAAATCAATTTTCACCCAAAACACGCCACTTCTTACACTTTCCAGCCATGTTAGTAGTTAATACCGTTTTACAGCAGATTATGAGAAATGAACCGCCGGAACCCCTTCGTCACTTTTTTTCCGCGCACTTCCTCGGACCCCTGTCGCGGAAGAATTGGTGTGTGCACCGTTAATTAATCAAAATCCTAATTAATATTGTCTTTGGTTAGAAAAAGTTTTCTTCTATGCATTATGCCAAGTTTGGGTTGTGGGCGGTATTTCCTTCTTGAGTAACAGGTGGTTGAAAGTTACCGCCTCCGAAGGCTGATTTTGCGTCTCCCGCCATGTTTACCATTCAGTGCACATAATATCCTCTATCTCGAAGCGGTTTTTGTTAGTAATTCAAGCTCAATAAACAGGTGTTGCCACGGAAAAGATTGTTGTTGGTAGATATATAAAGCATACCTAGACCAAATTTCAGATGATTTTAGTGTAATACCAGGTCTCCAGGACCCTAAATGTACAGATTTTTTAAAAAAATGGCAAAAAAAACACAAATAAAACAATTTTAAATGCCTGTATCGTAAAAATGAAACAAACGCCTGGGGGTATTTGGCTACTCTACCTTCATACCAAATTTTATGTTATTTTGCCCAAAACTGAATGAGTCAAATCAATTTAAAGAAATGGCAGGAAAAGAAGGAGAAAAATAATAATAAGAAGAAACATTAGGAAAAACAACATGACTTCACCACATAGTGGTGAAGCCATAAAAACTAAATTTATGTAAAACATTATGGGGTCAGTTTATGTAAAACATTATGGAGTCCATAGAGTAAGATTCGTCGCAAAAAACGTACGGTGAATAGTTTCATCACGTTGGTAAGTCATTTAGTAAAGAGACTCTTTTTACACGAGTCTTTTATTCAGTCGACGTTTCGGTGACCGTTTGTCATCTTCCTCAGCTGAAGTGTGAAAATCAGCTTAAGATTTCCGGCTCGTTTTCCCACAGAGACACTTTAAAATGACGCTTAGCGGGGGCCAGGTGAACTGCAGCCGACGCACAGTACATGTACTAGGTCGTAACCGGATCCAGGCGCCAATTGCCCCCGGCCGAACAAACAACCTAATTCAAATTATTATACGGTCTCAAACCCGATGCATTCCTCTACAATTCAGCGCAGTTTTTACCTCGCTACCCTCCACCTACCTCTCGGCAGCTTTATCAAGGACTGCGCCGCACTACTTTGTGCCCGGACTATGGGGTTCGCCCATAAATACTAGTGCTGTGTTTTGCAACTTTAAAAGGATATGTGGCACTATTGCTTAGGATGTCCGCGTTCAAAGACAATATTGATTACTTTTTACTAATCTCCAAGCAGATCCCTCTCGGTGGCAAAAAGACAGTATCAAATTGGCCAGGCAGTATCCATTAGCCAGAGAAGGTCAGGACAAACAAAACCCGGCCATATATAAAAATGTAACGATCATTCCCTTACAACCTCTGCTTGGAGAGTAACATTTTGCCGATCGAAATATAAGTTTACTTGTTACAACAAGGCAATCAGAACAGCAGATTTGCCCCTGACAGAATCACTAGACGAAAACCGACGTATCTGGGTCGTATACTCCTGTACACACGCCCGGAAATTCCAAATATACGGACATTTCCAGGTGTGCGCGACCCGTACACTTGGCGTGTGCGGGCCCGCACACGGCCCGGATATGAACCACTCAGGTGTCCGGGCCGTGTACGGGCCTGTACACGTCTGTACACGCCACCCGTAAATCTCTGCACACACCTGGATACGTGACACGTACCTCTGAGTGTGTGTATGAAATATGCATAAATTAGCGGTAATTTTCACCTAATTATCTTCCTCATTATCAGCTCGTGTACGGGTCGTACACACCCGCACACGTCCCCCCCCCTCCAATATGCCTTTTCTAATGTAAAGTAGCATCATAGCCGTTTATCCCCCCTTCTTGTTTGCATAATTTTGTTTTCTTTATTAATTGTACATGGTGCTTGGGCTTTGTGACTTTTTGTTTGTGTTTTGTGTGCCTCCAATATTTCCAGTGTACTTCGGCCGGTCTTTCAGCTCAGCTGAAACAAACTGTACGTCTCGTTCTTCTGTGTCTTGCCTTGACGCAGCTAGTCACGGGAGCAAATATTAGTCTCGTCTGGGCACCAGTCGTTAGAAGCCGTCCCAAGCTCTTTATTCCGCGATGTGCAACAAGCCTCGCTGAGGCGGTGACCCACGGGCCGAACATCTTGTGCCACAGCACAGCCTTGAGTCGGGACACAGCGTATAGTCCGGAGGGGTGTACATCGGTCCTCTGGTCCGGTCTAATACTCTCTTGCACGCGGACTATCACTCGCCTATGCCCGCAGCCTGGTTCCCAGGATCCTGGCTACCGGCTTTTCAAAGAACGAGGCATACTATGACGTCACATCCTTCCCAATCAACCTCAGCTTGGAGAGTAGTCTTGTCCCAGTTCGTCTTGCCAGTGTCCCACGGCGTTCTTGTCTTGAAAACTGCTCCAATTTACGTAGAAAGGCGCAATACCGATATTCCTGTGTTGATGATGAGATATGACACAATCTCTCACCATGGACCCTTTTCTACCTCCATGCTCTCACTAAGTTCCTAGCGTGTTGCTTGTGTCCAGGATAGTTGTACAATGCACGCTCCACAACCAGGCATGTAACGGAA